AGGGTGGGTCTCTCTCTTAGGAGCGCCCTTCCCATGCAAGCTTGCAAAGAGGACAAGAGCCATCCTGACAGTTAATAGAAGGGCCAGGCAGCCACGGATTATCCAATTTGTTGATTAAGCTCACCACATCTAGTTCCACGGAGACTGAATTTGCTTTGGTATCCTAGAACAGACACAGCTCTGGAGCATGCCTCGTGTGTGTGACCATACTCATTTTTTTTTTGTGTGTCTTCTACCCCCTGTTTCTGTTCCCTTCTCTTGCCACCAACTTTACTGTCTTATTACGTTTTGACCCAGATGTTAGCATAGCAGTTCTTCTCCAGCAGCCCTCTGTTTGGTTAGAGCTGCTTTTCGCTCTGCTCCTCAGGCACTCCTTTCGACAACCGCCATGCTGCTATGGGACATTGCAGGGCTCCCTTCTCTCTCTGCTGCTGGACTTTGTGCTCCGGGAAGACCAGCGCCCTCTTCCATCATTGTGTATGCCTATCCTGTTCTCCCCACACCACACCCAGGTCTTCCTTGTTGAGTCGTCATTTTTCCACCTCTGCCCGTTCCCTTGTAGCTTGACTGCGAGGCCTTTGGTAGTTGGTTCATCGGAAAGTTGTGTTGTCCGTCCCCAGAGGTTAACGGTGTTGTTGTCCGCCCCTAGGTTAGGCCCCACCCAGCTGAAGATCTTCACCTGTGAATACTGCAACAAGGTCTTCAAGTTCAAGCACTCGCTGCAGGCCCACCTGAGGATCCACACCAACGAGAAGCCGTACAAGTGCCCCGAGTGCAGCTACGCCAGCGCCATCAAGGCCAACCTTAACGTGCACCTGCGGAAGCACACGGGCGAGAAGTTCTCCTGTGACTACTGCTCCTTCACCTGCCTCAGCAAGGGCCACCTCAGGGTGCACGTTGAGAGGGTGCACAAGAAGATTAAGCAACACTGCCGCTTCTGCAAGAAAAAGTACTCTGACGTCAAGAACCTCATCAAACACACCCGGGACGCGCATGACCCCCAGGACAGGAAGGTCAAGGAGGCTTTGGATGAGCTCCGCCTGATGACCAGGGAGGGCAAGCGGCAGCTGCTCTACGACTGCCACACCTGTGAGCGCAAGTTCAAGAACGAGCTAGACCGGGACCGCCACATGCTGGTCCACGGCGACAAGTGGCCCTTCGCTTGCGAGCTCTGTGGCCATGGGGCCACCAAGTACCAGGCCTTGGAGCTGCACGTCAGGAAGCACCCCTTTGTTTACGTCTGTGCCATATGTCTCAAGAAGTTCGTCAGCTCCATCAGGCTGCGCTCGCACATCCGAGAGGTGCACGGGGCAGCCCAGGAGACCCTGGCCTCCACCAGCTCCATAAACCAGAGGTTTTTCCTCCTGGAGCCTGGTGGGGACATCCAGCAGGAAGCCTTGGGGGACCAGCTGCAGCTGGCAGCTGAGGAATTTGTGTGTCCGGAAGTGGATGTGCTCAAGGAGGGTCCCGGGGAAGCTCAGCCTGAGGTGGCTCCGAGGGAGCTGGAGGCCCCGGGAGAAGCAACCACCTCGCCCGTGCCCTTGGCCACCTCCCAGACTGAAAGTGCTTCCCTTTCCCCCTGCAAAGTAGGAACCACTGTCGTCGCGTCTGACCTCAACCCTCTTGGAGTGGTTTCGGATGACTTTTTACTGAAAAACGGTACCTCCCCAGCCGAGTCCCATGCTGTAGCCGAGCCAGCCTTGGATACACAGCATGGAGGCTCAGCCCAGACTCAGGGTGAAGAAGTCACACTGCTGCTGGCCAAGGACCAAAGTGCCAGACCAGGCCCAGAGAACCAAAGTGGCCAAAGCCCTGCCTGTGGAGGGCAGAATGCGATCGCTCTGCCAGCCAGTGAATCTGACTCTAACAGGTGTCTCAGGTCAAACCCAGAGGAGGCCTCAGACCTCCTTCCCGCAGTGGCTGAAGGAGGGGAACCTGGAGTGTGCCAGGCCGACCCTTCGAAACCCCCATCCGAGCACCACCCTGGCAGCACAGCGTTCATGAAGGTCCTAGACAGTCTCCAGAAGAAGCAGATGAACACCAGTCTGTGCGAGAGGATCCGGAAGGTTTATGGAGACCTGGAGTGTGAATACTGTGGTAAGGAAAGGGCTGTGCTGGTCACACGAGCCTTTGAGCAGAGCTTTCCTTCCCAGCAGCCCTGTCCGTTCCTATCATGCTGTCATCACCTTGGGTTCCATTTGAGCTCGTGTCTGTTTGCAAAGGTCACCACAGACATGAGCCACCCTCCTCTGTGCTAGATAGGAGCAGTGAGCCCAATCATCAGTCACAGTTGGAGCCTTCCCGGGATCAGCTGGGATGATGCGTAGCTGACCACGGTGGGGGTCATGCTGAGGGCCGCTCACCATCTACCATCTTCTGACCAAGAAGGATCCTTCTTCTGGTGTTCAGTTGTGGCTTTGTCAGTCGGGTAGAGAGGGTAGGGGACTGGCTGCCGCTCTGCGCTCTGGGTAGGGAGGCCCAAGCCGCTCCCTTCTGAGCCTGTGGTGAGAGCTAGGCGTGTGGTGGGAGCTCCCAGGCAGCAGTCAGGAGAGGAAGTGGGCAGACCAGAGCCTGTCTCATAGCCCAGGATGTCAGGAGGACTCGGAGGCCCTTGGATTTGTGCATTTGCAGGGTGATGTTTGACATAATTAGCTCTCGATAAACATTTCCTTTCTCTTTTCCTAGCCCTAACACCATGTGAAAAGATGGTGGTACCTTAATACTTGAAAACTGCCATTTTTGAAAAGTAGTTTCCTGACAGAAGTGTGGTGGAAAGTGTGAAGGGGCATACCAGATAAAGGAGATAAATATGGTAGTTAAAAAAATAATGATTATTTTTTTAAAAAAAAAAAATCAAATTCAGTATAAAAAAAACTTCCTTGTTCTCATGTGAAAATATTTTTTTAGGCAAACTTTTTTGGTACCAAGTGCATTTTGACATGCATGTCCGCACCCACACCCGGGAACACCTGTATTATTGCTCCCAGTGTCACTATTCTTCCATCACCAAAAACTGCCTTAAACGCCATGTAATTCAGAAACACAGTAACATCTTGCTGAAGTGTCCCACTGACGGCTGTGACTACTCGACTCCAGATAAATATAAGCTACAGGCCCATCTTAAAGTTCACACAGAGCTGGTAAGTAGCAAGCCAGAACGGCAGCCCTCACCTCCCCGCCCCCGGGTGCCCAGCGCTCTCTCATGTTTATGCCAGTAGAGGTGTCTGTGCTGCAGGCACTGTGAACGCCCCGCGCCTCGCCTCTTCAGACACAGAGGGGCCCCTCCCGCCTCTTAACGACACCTCACAGAGCTTTCTCCCTCCGGCTGGCTCCTGGCTCCTTCCGTAGCAAGTCTCTGATTAGATTGAACGAACTGCATTCTCTGCAATTTTTTTTTTTTTTAGCATTTGAGAAAGTTTACAGAAGAGTTATCTGCAGAATGGAAATGAAGCAAAGTTTTCATAAATGTCATTTTAAAGAATTATTAATAACAGGAATGATAATAGCTGCCTGTAAGTGTTGTGGGGGATTAAGTTGGATGATTGGATTGGATTAGGTAATTATGCCAGGAACAGTGTTTGGTAGGCAGTGCGGCAGGTGTCGTGAATGCTAATGACCACTGTTGTCACATTAGTGGGGCACTTATTGTAAACACCACCAGCATGTAGGAAGCATTTTGATTTAAGAAGTGACATGTTAATCCAAGGTGCCATTAACGCGCAGGATGGGCCTGTCTGGTTCTTTGGTTCTTGACTTCACAGTGATGCAATGAGCAGATGTTTGTTTTTGCAAGGTCTAGTCTGTTGGGAAGAGGCTGACACTCCTGAGAATGATTTACGACTCCCTAACATAAAAAAAGAAGCCACACCTGAGGGCACACGTGGCTCTCTTTATGCCAAAGATGGCACAAGCAGACTTCAGAAAATGAGTTGCTCTGCTTTTCTCATACACGGGTGGTTGATCACTAAGGTGCAGTCGTGGCTTTTTTTTTGGGGGGGGGG